TTACGATCGTACTTAACGATTCTGCAACATTGTCAAGCTCTGTTTCCTCAGGTTCAACGTTTAAGCCAGCTTTATATGATGCAGCCTTCTGTAAAACTGTATCGTTTCTTGATGTAACCGTATGAAGCCACATATCCTGCGCTGGTATCAATTTATCAGGATCAACACTTTTAGAAGCTAACTTAATCAATTCCTCATTTATTTCAACTGCAGTCTCTATCAGGCTCTTGCAATTCTGAATCTGAGTGTCAATCTTTGATGAGCGACTCTGACTTTCAATGTTCTCAATTATAATTTCATGGCACTTGTACAGTTCATTTTCAAGCTTGGTTCGCTTCGCAAATAACCTTTGAACCCTCTTCTGAAAGTTCTCATCCATGGCTCTAGGGTCTATACTTAACTCAAACTATACTTAACGGTTATCGGGCGTTTGCGGGGCGATTCGGAACGGTTTTCGGTGAGTAAAGTTACCAATGGGGCTGGGGATTAAGTAAGTCGGTTGATATCAAACAACACACACGGAGTAAACCTGAGGATGAATAAAACCAACTTAACTTACTTAATATCACCTCCCTGACCACTTAGGATGATGTTACGGCGTACGAAATTTGTTGAACGGTCGTACGACGGTGCGTCACTACTAATCGGCTAGTAGCTCGACGAATTACCAAGAGGTTTGGGAATTAAGCAAGTCGGTTGAAAAACAACAACACACGCGGAGCAAACCTGAGGATGAAAGACAACAACTTAACTTGCTTAATTTTACCGTCCCGGACCACTTAGTCAGTCGTTGCGAAACGAATGTTTTGAAAAGCGAACGAATGCAAACAGGTATCAAGTCGTTGTAAGCCTTAAGTTTACCAATGGGGTTGGAGAATCAGACAAATCGGTTAACTCTCAACAACACACGCGGAGTGAACCTGAGGATGAAAAAAAATTAACTTAACTTGCCTGATATTAACTACCCAGACAACTAAACATACTTTAACTATACGGTTCAACGGAGTTTTGGACTAATTTTTCAGAAAATTTTCAATTTTCAAACAAAATTTTGTATAGTTTGGTTAGTGGATTCGAGTCATAACTGGTATCAAAAAACTAGTCTAGTAACCGTTAGTCTATGTTCCGATATTATAAATTTTCAATTCATCAAAAAAATAGCCAACATTTTGGCTATCGAGCAAAAAATCTAGTTCCGGTTATCTAGTACCCGATTTAGAGCAATTTTTCTAATTTCAGTTTAATCAAACTGGCCAAAAATTTTCGGGTATCGAGAAAAATTAGGGGTGAGTATTGGCGTTGTGTCTCACATTTATAATATAAAACATCGTATCCGTAATTTATCAAAATTAAAAGTTTAGGTTCGGTCTTACAGTTTTTGTGAAGATAGGGCGCACCGATGAGATCGTCGGTCACAAACAGCCTCACTGAATAGCCCAAACCGTCTTGTTGCAAGTCAGAAACTCTGTCAGTGACTTATCGTCTGGATGGGTTACCCTGTCAGCGCTATTGAACTCCCAGACACATCCATTATGAATTTTTCAGTATAACCGTTTTTGTAATAATAACTCGGATTATTATAAGGGAATTAACTAATATCTGTCCCTTGTGGGGCGCCAAAATGTGCGCTAATCTCCACAAAATAAAGTTAAAATCAATATTTTATTCGTATTTCTCGGTAAATACTCGTGTTTGGTCATAAATCGGAATATATCCACAATTTTTGTATAAACGGACATAATCAGTCATAAACGACTATAACTCAAACTTTTTACTTACATCATCGTATATCGGACACCACGCCAGCTTGACCTTTTCCGAAACTGTTTGACTTTTGAAGCAATTAAAAACCAGCTTGACTTTTGCAGAAACTGCAAAAATGCAAAAAAAACTGCTCTTTTGTAGGTCGTAGTTTTAAATTTGAACGATTTATGTTTCACGCATTAGTTACGTTTTGCGCTGCTACATAAAAGGAAGGAAAAATACACTCTTTAATTACCGAAAGAAAAATGGCACGAAGAACCGCGATGGACAAGTAACTTCGAAAATGGGCTTTAATTTGTGGTTGCGGAATAGAAGGCTTACTTACATCCCGTTTTTGTTTTAAAAAGATTTAGTTATATCCTAAAGGTGTTAATCATAACTAGTTCTTAAACTTCTTGCAGCTCTAAAGCTATTTTTTGTTTAAAATTTTTTAGTTTTATCCAAAAAGTGTTAATCATAAATAGTTCTTGAACTTCTTGCAGCTCTAAAGCTATTCAAAAGTGACTTTTTCGAAAGAATTAACGATGGATTTTTTCAGTCTCTTTGCGTCCGTAGAACTTTCCAACTGTCTGTCGTCTATGTTTTTTAACATTAAAAAAACTGGACTTATCTGCTGCTCTCGGGAGTTGTTTAGACCAACTATCGGAAAAGATCCAGATTTGATGTTGCAGTTACCAGAACGCTTAAAACGTCTAAGCTACTAAAAAAAACTTAAATTTTTTTGTAATTATCCAAAGTTCTCAAAGTGTTGTTAATTGTTGTAAAAAAAACAATATTTGTGATTGCAAGCTTTCGTTTTTTTGCATATAAATTGTAAAATTTGTTGAGATCTGAAATAAAAAAAAAAAAATTTCAAAATATTTATCTAAATCAACTGAACGAGTCGTATTTTTTAATCATTATGAGGCCAAACTGTGTAATTTTAAATTGCCAGAGGACGCTCAACAAGGACGCTCCTTTTGTTTTTCGTTTGGTGTCTAAGGTTTGAAATGTTTGCTAACTAGTCCATTGTTTGCAAAATAAATTGCATTCATCAAAAAAAATTTATCATATCATGAAAATCTGGTTACTGTGCAAAAAACACAACATTTTTGGACTAATATACTTTCGAAGAACTTCAAAAACTCATTAAACATATCGAAGTTTTTTTCTTCAGTTTTTTTACGACCTGTTTTGCATCATAGAAGGTGATAAAGGTGACTAACTTGGTAAAAAATGCTAAATTGAGATTATATAAAGCTAAAATAAGGCTAAACTTGTATTAGAAGAGAAACTTAAAATGCCATTCCCTAAAAGTTTTTTGTCTATTTTAGTTTTAAACTAAAGCTCGACACCTGTTTCATTCAGCACCGAGAAAAAGTCTGTGACATTTTTTCCGAATCACAATCAAAGTTTTTCAAAAAAACTACAAAAATAGAATCCATGTAAGCTCTGGTGGGGTATTTTAAGCCGAGCAACAACAGAAACCAACCATGTGCTATATTTATTTCCCCCACTTCATGAGTTGGTAAATAGCAATAGGAGGCCTTGCGAAAAAAAATGAAAAAACTTTTCTCAGCCTTATTCTCAAAAACTTTTTCTACAGTGAATATGATGATATTATGGCCAAAAAATTTGATGAAACTAGCTTAAAATATACAAGAGTGTTTTCCTTTTTTTAAAACTTTTTCAACTTTTTTTTTGTTAATTCATTAGCTGGTCGTCTATGAATAAAGTGTGATACGACTTTCTTTTAAAAAACTTAACAATAGCGTCAGAAGCAAATAAACTGAGCTAGACCAAACATAAAAAAATTCTTTTACTTGCGGGGTTTCCATTTTTGAAGAAATAACGGAATGTAAGTGTTCGGTATTGTTTCTTCTCTAGAAAAATTTCGATATTTCTTTTAGAAATTTTTGGCAGGAGTTTGTTTCTATCACCTGGAAGATAATGATGCCTTAAGCTTAAAAATAAACTCGAGGTTGCGTAAAATTGAATTTTGCCAATGTAGTCCGCTTGGGAAAATTACGCGTGATATATGCCTGTCCTATAAGTGCTTAGGCGTTATTTATATCATTTAAATTGACTTGAGGCAACCAGTTTGGTGTTATTAATAAGTTGCCAGACACAAACTAGCCCATAGTTCCTCATTGCTTATAGTTAAGTGGTTGGAACAATCATTTATCAAAATTTGAAAGCTTTTAAAAATTGGCAACATTTTTAACTAGTAATTTTAGGTTTTTTTTGGCTAAAGATCTGTTTTGGTCATAAGCTTTTTTAACAATTTCAATTTCGGACAAGTATATCAAAACTTTATCACAACAAAACGTTTTTTTTCCAAATTTGATGAACAGAAAGAACAAAAAAAGAAAAAATCATCCCAAATCTCTCAGGAGAATAGTTCAGAGAAATCTTTTACACAAGAAAACCAATTAGTAATTAAAACATCTATCAACATCAAGAGTATTTTAATGTTTTGTTTCAATAAAATAGTTTCTATTGAATTTTCCACTGTTGAATTTTATGCGCAAGATTTTGCAAATTTTCCCGCCGAAAAAAAAAAGTCAGAAAAAGTGCCATTCATTTATTCATTCCTTGATTGATTATTAAAAAATAATTGCGAAATAGACAAACGCTTAAACTGTATTTTTTGGAGAAAGTCGAACTTACCGAAAAGACAATTTGCCGAAAGTGCGGGAAAACATATTATTATTATCATCTGAGGTTAGGTTATACTTTCAGAACATCTAACAGGGTTAATTGAAGGATAAGAAACTCCATTCTAGGAGGCATTTTAGAAGTTTTTACACTTCATTTCAAAAAAGCTTTGTCGTATTTAAACAAAAGTGAGACTTAAGCAGCAAAGCAGCCAGTTGTGAATGAAAATATAAATTTTTCACGAGCAACAATGCCTTGGCACCTGAAAAGATGCAACCAATCAAATGAAAAAAACCGACACACTTGATAACTTAGGCAAACTGACTTTTCGGCACGTTGACATGCCACCTTTTTTGAACAACTTTCCTTTTTTGAACAATTTGTACCTTTTCACTGGCAAGCAGACAAATTGTGCCGTTTGAAACAATAAACAAAACGCCGGCTAAGAAAAAATATGCCCGCCCGCATTGTCACGCTTTTATATTTAAGGAGGCCTTTTATCTATCAGTTTGGAATCCAAAAGTTATTAACTTTAACGGCAGTTATGAAAAAGAGATGATTCAGATTGTAAATAAAAACCACGAAATGCATGTTTTCAGAAGACGAGCGACGAATGATGAAAGAACGTGGGAAGAGCGAGCACCTCTCAAAGCAGATAGCGAAAGCCAGACGGAAGCTGGAACAGAATCTGTTTGGGCGCGACACCTCCAGTCTAGAGTGGGAAGACGAACCGAACGAACGACAAGCAGACTACGACGGGATATTAAATGACGAGTCATCAACTGCATCGGGCAGTCCAAAAAGTGGAGAACAGAATCTAAAATCAATCAAAAAAGTTAAAACTGACAACAATCTCTCGAGCATAAAATGCGAGACAGACTCAATTCAGATGAAAGAAAAGGATAATGAGAAAAGGGAGAAAAAAACTTTGGAACCGGAACTGGAGGGGGGACATGGGAATGCGAAGGGGGAGGACAGGCTGAGAGAGAAACGGAAAATGGCGGGGAGGAGGGGTGACGAGGAGGAACTGCGCATTATGGTCACGCCAGACATAATACGAGAACAAGTATGTGTTTTAGGGAGTGCGGTCTGTATTAAGACAACCGCGTATTCGTACTCGTCAGTAAGCAGACAAATACCTTATTAGCCAATCAGAATCGAGATGAGAAAACAAATTTACGAATTAGATAATTATTAGTTATTCATTTCTTCCTTGTCTCGATTCTGATTGGTTAATACAGTATTTGTCTACTTACTGACGAGTCTGAAAACGCGGTTGTCTAAATACTGCTACGTAACCGTGGTTTAGAAACATATCTGTTCAAATATCTGTACAATTGCTGATAAACTTTGATTTTAAAATTTTCAAGTGTCTTTTTAGGTTTTCCGAGTGGAATTTTTAATCTCCCCGTATAAAATAAAGCAGATGTTGGACAGTAATTTAGGATGTCAGGCAAAGACTCGAAAAAAATTCCAGGAATTTTATTTTTGCGCAGTTTTTGGAGAAATTTTCACGAAAACTTCAGCAAAAGCAGCATTTTGAAAAAAAGTGTCAGATAAAATTTGATGACTTAAAATGTTCCGAAGTCCCTCGAGGTAATTAGGCCAAAATCCACGTATTTTACCAAAAGATTTTGTGAAAGCGGAATATAAATCGAAACTTTCTGAGTAACAAAACTTAATCCAAAACCGATACATCCGATTGCCACAGTCTACAGCCCCGCTGCAATCAATCCTAATTTTGAATTAGCAATATTTAAGAATCCGTATTGGAAATTTCGCGACAATTAATGTCATTTTTACTGTTCAGAACAAACTGATCCAATTCTACAACCGCAAGCAGACGTTGAGACAATCACGTGACAGCAATTCCAGGAAAAGACGCCATTGCTTGCCGCTGGAAAACAATGACCGCAACAGCTCTGACGTCATCAAACCCGGTTCATCATCTGTTTCTGATCATTTGACCTCTACAGCTATCAATAGTGATAGCGTGTTGACTACTATTGGTAAAAATAGCAGTATCAATCGTAAGAGTGTCGCTACGAATAGTACTTCTAGCTTTCCAAGAAAGTATGACACAAGCTACGTACCATTGAGGCACAGCGTGGTTGACTTTTGTGAGAAACGAAAGCAAAACAGTGGCCTCTATTCGAATGTCTTCCAGTCTCCGAGAAACTTCCGGATCCCGAAAAGAGACAAACCCCGTAGTCCAGAAAAGGAAGATAAAGATGAGTCACGAGAGGGGAGTGGGTCACAAATTGGGTCTCGGGCGAGGGGAAGTAAAAGTGAATTGATGGGTGCTGTTGGAATGGAGATGAAAAACGACTGTCAAATCGACTACGAGGAGGGCGAGAAAATTCAAGAGTGTTCCGAGCTCGACCAAACGTGAGTTGATTTTTTTAAAGTGGCTTTATTAGCAACTGTACAAAAAAGCCAAAACCTTTTCTTTTTGACGAACCGAACTTTTCATGAGTAATGAACGTAGTGAGTACTCTCATATAGGTCTTGCTGATTTAAAAAAAAATTCCAGGAAAAAGTCTTAAAATTTGTTCATGCTCATTTTTGATTTTTAGCGGTTTGACTTGTGATTTCATGTTAAGTTCAGTACAATCTCCACTATCGAACAGCAAAATTGTAAAGGTCACGAAAAACGCGATCGACTTCTAATTTCGAAAATGGACATTTATTATCAGATTTCCCAGTGAAATAAAATATTTAGCCATTGATCCAGTTTTCTCAAAATGGGTTAATTTTAACAAAAAAGTGTCGATAATAAATTGTAATACAAATTCAAAAAATTTTAAGGCCATCTATTTTTTTCTTAGAAACTCAAAAAAAAGTCAGTTTTTGTTCAGTTAACTGCGTTCATTACTCTTTTCCAACTGTCAGTTGGCTATGTTTTACTTGAGCGCATGTGATTATTGCATTGCACTTGGAAAAAAGATACACACTTTGAAAACTAGATGTTTTATGATACTTTTTGGTTTGAGGAGCAATTAACTTTATAAATACATTTTGAGGAAGATTTTGATGCTACTTGTCCTATCGCGCCATAGTCTTTCATGTATAATTGTCCTTTAGCGTGTCTCTGATTATTTTGACATTTATAATATGAGATTTTAAGGCAAATATTGGGGCAATTAGCTTGTTTCTATACGTTTGCTTAAAAAAATTCAGTTAGGAAAAGTTGCGCGAAAAAATTAACAACACTTTTGATCATAACAATAAAGGGCGCAAAGATTAGTCCAGGACTTGGACATTTGGTAATTTGGAATTTTTTATATTGGCATTTTTTAAGACCAAAATTTACCGAATTTACTTGCAAGTTAAAAATCTTGTGACATCACCTCACAGATTTAACATATTTTTTAGGTGAAGGCCACTTTGTACATGGCACTTTATACCACTTTGCGTGTGGAGAGAAATTTTGCAAATTTTTTTTCAATTGATTTTAAAAGTGGTGGTGATTTTAAAAAGCGGTTTTTTGCAATGAATCCAATTTTTGTTTCAAGTAAAACTTGCTTGAAAAAAATTGGAATCATTGCAAAAAACCGCTTTTTAAAATCACCACCACTTTTAAAATCAATTGAAAACATGTTTGCAAAGTTTCTCCCCTACTCACAAAGTGATATAAACTGCTAGGTACAAAGTGATATTTTTCTGATCTACTAACAAATTGTTTGTAATAATTGATATGCCCCACTTCAACTTGGAAACGATTCTTTCGCTATACACGCTCCCCAATGATAAAAAAATAGTAAATTACTAATTAACTATCGAAAGTTTACCAGATTGTCATTTTTCAAATCCCAAAAACTTTAGAAAACCTTAGTAGGTGAAAAATCTTATAAGAGCTATGAACATAGTGAATTATTTGATATAGGTTGAATTTTTTAGATTGTTTTTTTTTTAGTAAAAAGTCCTGAAAAATATTCACGCTAAAAATTGATTTTTTGTGATTTGAATTTTGATTTATTTATAGTTCAGTTTATTTAAATTGTTCAAATGAAGACCAACTCAAACAGCAAAAAAAAGTGTAAACATCACGAAAAATGTGATCGACTTCTAGTTTTGAAAATAAATTTTAATTTTCAGATTTCCCAGAGGAATAAAAAATTTACCTATTGATCCAGTTTTCTCAAAATGAATTACTACAACAAAAGCGTCAATCATAAAACGTTTTTGACATTCGAAGAGTTTTAAGGCTATTTATAAATACATATTGAGGAAGATTTTGACGCTACTTGTCGTATCACGCCATAGTCTTGCATGTATAATTGTCCTTTAGCGTGTATCGGATTATTTGGCACTCATAATATGAGTTCTTAAGGCAAATATTGGGGCAGTTAGCTTGTTTTTATACGTTTGTTTAAAAAAATTCAATCAGGAAAAGTTGCGCGAAAAAATTAACAACATTTTTTAGCATAATAGTCAAATTTAAAAAGGGCGCAAATATTAGTCCAGGACTTGGATATTTGGTATTTTGAAATCTTTTATATTGGCTTTTTTTAAGACCCAAAGTTACCAAATTTACTTGCAAGTTAAAAATCTTGTGACATCAACTCACAGATTTAACATAAATTTTAGGTGAAGGCCACTTTGCACATGGCACTTTATATCACTTTGCGTGTGGGGGAGAAAATTTGCAAATATAGCTTCAATTGATCTTAAAAGTTGTGGAGATTTTAAAAAGCCGTTTTTTGCAATGAATCCATTTTTTTTCAAGCAAAACTTGCTTGAAAAAAAAATTGGATTCCTTAAAAAAACCGCTTTTTAAAATCACCACCACTTTTAAAATCAATTGAAAATATATTTGCAAAATTTCTCCCCAAAATGCAAAGTGATACAAACTGCCATGTACAAATTGATAGTTTTCTGATTTACTAACAAATTGTTTGTTATAATTGAATTGCCTTACTTCAACTTGGAAATAATTCTTTCGCTATACTCACTCCCCAATGATAGAAAAAGAGTAAATTACTAATTAACTATCGAAATTTCACCAGATTGTCATTTTTCAAACCCCAAAATTTTGAGAAAACCTTAGCAGTTGAAAAGTCTTATAAAAGCTATGAACATAGTGAATACTTTGAAATAGGTTGAATTTTTTAGATTATTTTTGTTAGTAAAAAGTCCTTAAAATTATTCACGCTAAAATTTGATATTTAGTGATTTGAATTTTGATTTATTTATTGTTCAGTTCATTTCAATTGTTCAAATGAAGACCAACTCAAACAGAAAAAGTGTAAACATCACGAAAAACGTGATCGACTTCTAGTTTTGAATATGAGTTTTAATTTTCAGATATCTCGTGGAATAAAAAATTTACCTATTGATCCGGTTTTCTCAAATTGAGTTACTATAAAAGAAGCGTCAATCATAAAACGCTTTTGATATTCGAAGAGTTTCAAGGCCATATTTTTTCTATGTAGTTCGCAAGTTGAAAGTATTTCAAAAACACAAGTCCAGTTTTTCAATGTTTCCTGGCGTTTACGGCTCTTTTCAACTGCATGTTCGCTATTTTTCATATTGAGCTCAGGCATCAATATCTTCACAATTTTATGAACATTTCCTTGAAGAGTATAAATGCTCGGCACTATGCTATAAACTATGCTACATGCGCTTTGAGTCTGCGTAAATTGCTCATTTGATAGTTTGAAGGCTTTCTCTGTGATGCTGAAAGTGTAACATGATTTATTTTCTCCTCCACGAAATAGTTCCAAATTGAAATTAGTTAAATTGATTGTTCATAATTTATCCGCATACGACTCAAATTACCTAAATTTTAATATTATTGTTCAAAACTTAAAATTCAACCTTGTATAACCCGGGTTGACGTTCATAAAAGAAAAATAATTATCATACAATTTCATATATGAAGTCTTTGGAAAAAATCCTTTTCATAGAAAATTCACACAAAATTTAAAAAATTTTTAAAAAATTTTTAATAAACATTTTTGGTCTAATTGCCTCTTTTGAAGCTTTCTGGTCATTAAAAAAGGATTTAAAATTTTTGATAAAAAATGCTTGTCGTACAACTTTCATGTGTGAAAATTATAAGATAGTCATTTTGTCATAGAAAAAATAAAATTTTCAAAAATCACCAAAAAACTTGTCTGGGTAAATTTATATAGATTTAAATAGTTATATCTATGATAGAGGGCATTTTGACAATCAAAAACAAAATTTTGATTTCGGTCAGAAAAATGCTTATCATAAAGTTTTCATATATGAAAATTGTATGATATGCATTTTTTCCATAAACGAAAACAAAAATTTGAGGTAAAAAAATTGTAATCCTTTTTATGGTTGCAAACTTGCTTTTGTGCTAAAATATGAATTTTACGAAAAAAAAATTGCTTGCAAAATTTGACTTTTTGTGTTTATGACGTAGTCCAGGATGAGTTTTTCACCCAAAAAATATAAAAATCACAAGAAAGCGTTTTTTTTGTAAACACAATTATTATATTTTGTTTCATTTGCTGAGATAAAAATAAATTTGCAAAGAAAAACAGGCTTTTTTTCTCAACCACCAGAAAGTAAAAACTATCTAGCCATATTCAAAAAGTTACTTTTTTGGTATATAATTCCATGTGAAAATTTTAAAATTAACTTTTATGGCTTAATTCACCAATTGCAGTATATCTGCGTGGTAATTGCCAGGTCACTCTGGAATTTCTTATGACAAAAAACCCTTGATTAGTGTTTCGGTTGAAACACAAAATTTTGAAACAAAAATGTTATATATTTTCATTTATGGAAAAAATGCTTGTCATACAATTTCATATTATGGAAAAAATGCTTATTTTGCTATTTTCATACACTAACTTTTGCTCTATGAAATTGTAAGAAAGGGTATGATAAGCTTTTTTTTCATATATGAAAATTGTATGATAAGCATTTTTTGTGAACCCGCGAAATTTCTCGAGACCACCCTGAAATTACACTGATATACGAGCAAACTTGTTAATATGACACTAGACGCTAAAGAAACCCTTTGTACTTAACAAAACTCGGAGGAGACTTTCAATGTTATCCATATTAAAAAGCAATTTTTTTGTATTAAAAATTCATTAATAAGGTTTTATTAAAAAAATGCTTCAGAGATAATAAAGGGCAGTCGAACGCTTCAGAATTTCGCCTTGCAACGAGAAATCTTGCTAATGTTATTCGCGCATTTTCTTAGAACAAAAAATCTGCTAGTGTATAGTTTCGATTTGTTATAAGCGTGTCTCTAGCTAGTGCGTGTCTCGACTTGTTATAACCAGAAACAATTAAATGTACTTCAGTCATAGTTCAGTCTGATGGTTCCGTTGAGAAGACCCATTATAGAAAGCAAAAAGTAAAAACCAACTAGTTTCATTTTTTTGAGCGTGAACAAACAA